AACATTTAGACGCTTGTATAAAAAAAACTAAATGAATAACCAATTATTACCAATAACTCACGTAAACGATTTATATGTGTACATTGCGATGAAGGTTTTGTTTCATTGATTGAACTTAAATAACATACTTGGGGACATGTAGAAAAGTAATAGTAGAGTTTAAAATGAACTGGTGACTGTGGTTAGAGTGGTAGAGATTTCAGGACTGTACTTATAGCTTTTAAATACCCGGAATTTAGTAATCATGGAGCATTGGTTTAGTGAACAGCGTGCGTTAGCGATAAAAGCGTATTACAAAAGTAATGATATATGACATGCGTAGTAGTAATGTGTGACTAACCAAGGAAGGCATTTGCAACAATCTTTAAAAAATGAAGTTTTTAAATATATAATATAAAATCCCACTTGTGTAATTTCTATTTGTTTGGCAAAAATTAATAAAAAATTGTTTTTCTATTTTTTTATTTTTTCAAATCGTCGGATTTGTCTGCCGCTCCCTGTATATAGTATATAATTTATCATAGAGACTGAATCAGATAATTATCAAAATAATACAGTACATTTTACACCATGTAGTACAGCATCTTCTATACAGCAAAGAATTCTTCCTTCAAAACAACGTATACCAGTATCAAAAGGACAAATAAATCCGAAATGGAAAAAGCGTCGAGTGTTTGTACCTAAGGTTCACCATTTTGATACATCTAAAGTATAATAATAATTTTATAAATAAGTACATAACTGTATGTAATTCAAAACATATTAGTATTCTACAGTTTTTGATTAATTTTTTAGAGTGGAATTCAAAAAGCAGAATTTGAGCTATCAGAAGAGTCAACTGTGTTAGACTTTTTTGAAGCTTTTGTGTCACCCAATTTATTGGGAAAAATAAGTTTTGAAACTAACCAGTATTGCTACAAATATAATATTCAAACACCATATTCCAGGAATAAACCAAATAATAATGAAATAAACCATTTTATATTTGTATATTTTTTTTTATAAAATGTTTTTAGAGTTACTCGTTGGACAGACACCCAATTTGAAGAACTGTATGTGTTTTTGGCTTTGACCATGCTAATGGCACGGAATAAAAAATTAGAGATATCTGATTATTGGTCCACTGATCCACTTCTATCAACCCATTTTTGGTCAGCATATGAGTCGTGACCGTTATTTTTTGTTACTTAGAATGCTCCACTTTAGCAACAACGATGAGAAAATACCTAGAGATCGACTTTCTAAGATTCAAATTCCATTTCAAGAAATAACTAAAAATGTTAAAGATGCCATGATACCATTTGAAAATCTAGAAATAGATGAAAGTCTTGTTCTGTGGAAGGGTCGTCTTTCATTTAAACAATTTATTAAAACAAAGCGACACTGATTTGGAATAAAAATCTTTGTTATTTGTGATGTAGAAACTGATTTCATTCTAAATATTCTAATATATACTGGAAGCACAACAGAATATAAAAAAACAGACCCAAGCCTCGGTATATCCGGAGCTGTGGTAAATACATTGATGAAGCCATACTTGAAAAAAGGTCACAAGCTATTCAGTGTAATTGGTATAACTTCACCTTCGTTAGCCATGTTTCTTTACAAAAAAAAAAACAAATGTCACTGGAACTGTTAGGAAAAATCTTAAAGGAATGCCTAAACTAACATCGAAACTTGAAGTTGGTCAAACAGAAAGTCAACACACAACAACTATGCTACAAGGTGGAAAGATAGAAGATATGTTTACATGTTGACAACACAATTTGAAAATAAAATGTTTGCTATTGGGAAAAAAGATCATCATGGAAACCAAGTAATAACCTCTATCTGTGTTGAAATATAATGAAAATATGGGCGCTATAGACAAAACAGATATGTTGTTGTGCTCAATTGAATGTGTGAGAAAAACCATAAAATGGTATAAGAAACTGTTTTTCCACCTGGTAGATCTATCCTTACTAAATGCATATAGTTCATACAAGACTGTTACTTGAAAACATTTACCATTGGCAAGTTATCAGTCTCAACTAATCCGGGAAATACTAACAAAATATTCAAAGAAAAGTGCTTTGAACAAAAGAGGTCGTCAGTGATACTGTGATACCTATGCGATTGACAGATAGACATTTTCCATCCACTGTACCACCAACATCTAAGAAGACAAATCCTCAAAGACGGTGTTATGTATGCCAAAAATTAAAAAAGAAAAGAAAACACACAACATTCATATGTACAGAATGCGATGTTGGGTTATGTCCATGCTTTGAAATATCATACTACTAATAAGATTTGAATTTTCTACTATATAATTTGTTTTAAAATAGCATTAGTTTGTTACTATTATACTGAATTAACTGATGACTATGTAATTATTAATAAACAGTTAAAAATATAATTTGTAGGTACGTTGCATTTTAATTATTTCAAAATCATAGTATGCGGTTCCTACGCTAAGTTTCCTAGTTTGGTTACCCCTGGTCGTATAAACTTTAAACTTATCATTCAAAGTTAATATATATACCTATATATTTTTTTTTTTTTGACTTCAACATATGGTTCAATTTAACTAAATAAATCAATTAGGAACATTAAAAAAAAAAAAAAAAAAAAAAACAAAAATAATTCAGCAGAGATGAGTATTTTAGAAAAAAAAACTTAGCAGTGATAAGGTTAATAATATAGGTAAATATTTTTTTCTTATCTTTGTTTATATAATATAGAAGTATGTAAAAAATTGTGTAGTTAAATAATATATAATAATAAATATATATTTATATATTTTATACTTTTATAACTGTATTTGTTTTAATTATTTATAAATTATAGTTTTAACCTATTAGATGTTATACATACCTTCCTAAACTATTGTTAATATTATTGGGTTGTTAAAAGTAATTGTTGAAATTGTATTTAATTTCAAAGTAAATAAAATTCAAAGCTACTTATACTATTTATCAATTTTAATTTCACTGAAAGATAAACATATTATGCATTATTTATATTGAGTTGTGCTTTAATTTAATATAAGTATGTTTCTGTGCTTAGATTTTCTTTTGGTTATGTTTTATGATTTTTCAATTATTTTTTATAAATGCAAGGTAAAAATTGTAGTCCTCATTTATATTTACTTAAATATTTTATTTTGTATTATTATTATTACTATTTATTATTATTTTTGTCTTTACATAAAATTTTTGATACATCATACTTTATAATATTATTTATGTAATACTATTAGTATAATATTCCGATAATTTTAACTTGGGGGAGGTTTCCAATTTATTTGAAAAACTGTTCGTTTACTTTTATACTACAGTTACAATATTTTTTGTGTTGTTATTAATTATCATAATTTATTTTTATTAAGTTTGCTGAAACAGAAATGATTTTTATAATATGTCACAATGTGACTGCGGTATTTTTCTCTTGTATTATTTGTTTATTTATTATATTATTGATACCTATTTTATTTGTTTTATATATACAAATTATTACAACATGCATAATGCATAAAAATAACTAAGATTAATATTATTATATTTAAGAAGTTAACTGATTAACATTAAACATAATATACATGTTGATGAAAAAAAAACACCTGTTTATTTCGGTATCAAAAAACGGTCCACAATATATTGTTCTTAGAACTCTATTCTCAAAACTTCTGAGTTTTTGTTCGATTTGTACTGTCGGCGGCCATACTTCGCATCCATAGGTTAGCGTTGGTCTTACAGTAGGTACTCATATACAGTCGACAGTCGTACTTTTGTTTCTCTAGAGAAAAGTTTTGATTTAAAATATTTTATTAGTGAGAAGAAAGTCCTTTCCGCTTTGAGCAAGTGACTAGTTATTTCAGTGTTCCAGTCATTGTTACCAGTGATTGTTACACCTAGGTATTTGAAGCTATGTGCTTTCTCGAATACCTAATTATCTAGGTACTGTAAGGTCTTCCTCATCTTTTTTTATTTATTTATTTTTATTTATAATATTTATACGGACAAAGTCCAATTTACAATATATAATAACAATAACAATAATAGTATATATAATAATATTTGATAATTAACACATTTTAAAAAATTCAATATAAGTTGGTAGTACAATGAATACAAGGAATTAAAAAATAATACAAATTATAGTGATTACATTGATACAAAACCTAAAAAAAGTGGAGACAGAGTGGGTTTATGTGGTACAATATAATATTAAAGAGAATTAAATAACAATCATACAATTACTTAAATAGTAAATTAAAAGTTAGTTTATTTCCGCAAGACATCAAAATGTTTGAAGGATCATTCAACATGTACTTCTGGGGGAAATGTGGTAGATAAAATAAATCTTTATTGCGTACGTTATGAGAATTGGTTTTAAAATTTATTTGATTAAGTAAAAATGCATCATCAATCTCGTTGTTTATTAATTTTGTAAGAAAGGTGTTATGTATTAATTCTACGTGATTTTAGAGATTCTAAGTGCAATATATTTAAAATTTGTTCATATCCTGAGTGGGGGGTTCTTGGTATATTAGATTTAATGCATATGAATCGAAGAACTTTGTTTTGAATTTTCTCAAGTTGATCACTATGGCCCACAGTAGTCTGAAAAGTAAATTTAGCTTACATAAAATTAAATTGTAGTTTTTATTCGTCATAAATTGCCATATGTTTCACTTTTGTGTATTAACTATTAAATAGATAAAATAAATTACCATATTTAACTAGTTAGAAGATAGGTACCAATTTTGGTACACTTAAGGACTTCGATTTATGTAATGCAAATATACAATATTAAATAATTTATTAAATCGTAACATTATATTTTATTATACAAATTTACCTATAGCTTCGTCATTCTTCTTTTATTCTTTAGAATATTATTTAAATAATTATATTTATTACATTTTAACAAGAAATATTAAACGTAAATGATTAATTAATATAAAAGTTATATTATTCCGAATCATTATCAGATTCAGAGTTACTAGAATCACTTGCTTAGTCTTCAGGCATTATTATGAAAAGTTTTGCATCGTCTGAAAATGTCTGCAATTTTTTCGGTTGAATATTTCGCATGGACGATATTAATGGGTCGGATGAAACTAGCAACATGTTAATGAGATCTTCATTAATTTTCACTCTGGATATTTTTCTGGTGTGATGTTCCCTGTAGTTTTTGTAATGTTTGTTTTGGCTTTCTTGAGATTCTTCAGACAATTGACCTTTTACAAAAAAAAAAAATGATTATATTTTATAAATATATATTGTACATATTATACACACAAATATTATGTATAATATTTAAAATTACCAATTGGTAAAATTGCATGCCGGATAACATCAGCTCCATGAAGCAAAATTGTATGTACAGATGTAGGCATGTAGTACCAGGGGTAGAGTTCAACAAACAGTTCAGCTGTTTGAATACCATACGTTTCAAAAGCATCTGTATTTATTTCATAACCACTTGCCATGACAGTTAAAATCGTTCCAAACCAGTAATTTCGGCCGATTTTTCTGCATTTTTAAAAAACTTCCTGGCTGTGTTTCCATTATTTGTTGTACCGCAACCTATTTTAACGATATTATAATAGGTAATTAAAATTAAAAATAGTTACATACATATTAATTTTTAAATTAAAATATACCTTGTAATACTATATCTACTAATAATCCCATTTCGGAACGAAATTGTTCTTGTATTTCTTTTTTTTTGTTTGCAAACTTCAATTTATTTTCAGTAGTTTTCACCTTGAATGTATCAATTTATGTTTTCTTTAAAACTTAGTTCGCACAAGGTATATATAAGTATAATACTAATAATAATTATTACCTGCCAAGTTTTGAAGTCTAAACGATATGACACATGTAATAGACATTCAAAAAATCTAATCCATGCATGTAATGTCGATAAACCAAATTAAAAATGTTCCGGTTTAGTACTTAATTTTAATACTTTATCAATATCATTGGCATGTTTTGGAGTACAACCACATATATAACATGTTTGAATCGAAGTAAAAGTCATCGAATTGCATACCTATATGTACATAAGTTATGCATATTTTTTTATTTTTTCTAAAAAGGAATAGTTCCAAAGTATTATATAAAAAATACAAATAAATTTACCTTTCCATCAACCATTGAAAAAATTAGCTTGTGCTCTACTTTCAAATTACCATCATTATAAATTAAATCTATTGTATTTAAGTTATCTATTTGTGTTTCTACATTATTCACTTCTTCTCAAGTATTTTCGGCGGTTTCTTTTTTTAATAAAAATTTAATAGGTCTGCAGAATCTTGTTGAAGAAGTTTCCAAATAATAAATTTGTTGTCATCAATCGTGCAACTCATTTGCAATGGTACAAAAGAAAACATAAACATATCGCTATCTGTCACCGATTGTTTAGTAGATGAATCAAAATTTATTCTGTACTGTGATTGGCCATTGCTTCCATCACACCCCCATTTAGAGAGTAATTCACACTTTTCTATTTTAATATTCATACTTTGAACACTAGGAATTTGCAGAATACGTTGGGCAGTGTGATTTAATAAATCTTGAAGTGGTATTTCGGCACTACATTCAGTTATAATGACATAATTTGGGTAACATTGTTTTTTTGCTATAAGCACTTTGTCATATGACGGATAAATGTTTGAATTTCGAGCTTTAGAACCGATTCGAATGTTTGTGTACTGTTTTTTTGTTAAATTATTATCCATGATAAATGCCATAGCTTCGTTGGGAGAGTAAGGTATTGGAAGAGATATTATATTAGTATTTTTTAATGATTTTCGCATTTTTAAAGCTCGGTTAGGACTAGACGTTAATTCTTTGAAAAGTAAAGCTGCACTTCTTTTTCCCGATTTATGCATTTTAGAGGTTACAGCGTATGTCAATTCTGGAGAGGTAAAACTTTTTACAACATTTGAAATTTTTTGTTTTTTTATTCTTTCTGTTGTTACGTATTGCCCTTCAGGGATCCAAAAGCTGATGTACTTTTATAAATAACAATAGTCAAATTAGTATAGTAATCAAATGTATTTTATTAAACCAGAAAAAATGAGCAGAACAGTCGTGTTGATTGTGTAGTTGAGTGAATTGTAGCTCGTTCTATAATTGATAATCTCCGTGTAATTATGTGTGATGGCTAAGCGAGCCGTGTGTTGTTCACGTCTCTGGATACATCTACTCAGGCTGTCTCGCTGTCCCCTATATATATGGTGGCGGCGTCCTTTGAAGTGAGCGGCGCGTGTACAGTCGTCCTTGATATGGACCTCACGACTAAAAGTGGTATTCTAGTCGTAAACACTTTTGGGTGTGGTCGCATTCCTGGTTGTTTTTATGAGCAAATACATGATATTACGTAATCCCATTACACTGTGCACGTTTCAAAATTTTTTTTCGGACGACCAACAGTCTTATAATTCATTTGAGATGGAAGTGTGTACTAAATTTAAAACTAGGCTTTCAAACTCTGAGCTCCATTCATATCCATTGTGTTTTTCACGGATTTTTTTCAGTAGAAAATGTCTAGATTCAACACTAAGAGGCTTCATTACACCTTCTCCTCGTAAAAAATTAAACAAATCATCGTTGGTTAATTTTTTTGGTTTTTCGCCGCTACTACAGCCTGCTGAAAATGGAATTATAATGAGCACATAGGCAGATATAGGCAGATCAAATTTATTAAAATAAATTATGTAGCTTGTATAATATATTATAAATAATATAATAAACAGATGCAATTTTTTGTAATTTTATAGTTATTGAACTATTTACTAACGGTTTATGTATTATATCATTAAAAACACAATTTTATGAATTTGAATTTCTTAACTTAATTAATAGATGTGTATTTAAATGTGTTTTAAGTGTACTTACCTTCATACGCACATTCCATTGTATATAAAAATGCAAAAAGAATCATTTTAAAAATTAAAATGTGCTTGCAATAACAGTTTAAAGCAAAATGAAATAAATACTCACGGTGATAGAAAATACTGTTCAAATTTTATACATTTTGAGCATTTTATAGATATCAATAATGTTTATGGCTTTAATTTTATCAAATCAATTAACTGATGGGTACATATAGGTACTATATAACATAAATATGGCATTTAGATAACATTTTATCATACTTTCTTAATTGGGTTTTATGTAAGCTAAATTTACTTTTCAGACCACTGTGTGGCCATTGCTGTTATTTTCCCAAATTATAGGAGCATACTCAAGAATAGAGCGGATAAGTGACGTATATAGGCACTTGAAAGTGAAAGGATTGTTAAACTGTGAGCAATTACGTTTTATCATACCAAATACTGATAGGGCTTTATTTTTAATAGCTATTATATGTAAGTTAAATAATAGTTTTGAATCGAAGGATATTCCTAAGTCCTTTATCACATGTACACGTTCTAAACTACTGTCTGAAATAGAATAATTGAAATTGATTATATTACGTTTATTAGAATATGTTAGAATTTGACATTTATTGATATTGAGTGAAAGGCCATTAGAAACACACCACTCATTAAAATCAGTTAAATCTTTTTGTAGGAGTAAGTTATCATCTAGAGATGAGATTGATTTATAAATTTTTGCATCATCAGCGAATAAAAGTATATTAGAATGAGTGATGGAAGACACCACATCATTAATAAACAAATTAAAAAGAAGAGGAGAAAGATGATCTCCTTGGGGAACTCCGGAAGTTACCTTTATAGGAATTGATATGAAGCTTTTATACTTGATTATTTGTGTTCGTAGGCATAAAAATGAGTTAATCCATGATAGACGAGGATTGGCAAAACCAGTTTTTAGCAGTTTATGAGTTAATAATTTATGATTAACACTATCAAAGGCTTTCTCAAAGTCAGTGTATATTACATCAGTTTGTTGGCCTTTAGAAAAAGATTCAAGTATATCATGTTTGATAGTTATTAGGTTAGTTACCGATGATTTATTACTACGAAAACCATGTTGGTGTGGTACTAGAATATTTTTAAAGATAGGAGAGAGTTTACGATTAACAATTTTTGAAAATATTTTAGGGAGGATAGAGATTATAGATATAGGGCGATAATTTGAGACCAATGATTTATTTCCTTTTTTATGTATAGGGTTGATGTAGGTAGATTTCCAAGTGGTTGGAAAAATTCCATTTTTTAGAGAAGTATTAAAAAAATACATAATAGGTGGGGAAAGTATAAATCTGCAATTAAATAGAAATAATGGAGATAAGCCGTCAGGACCTATAGAATTTTTATAATCAAGAATATTCAGCTCATTGAAAACTTCAACGAGTTCTATGTGAAGTTTGTTGATAGAGTCGTTAGACTCGATTATTTTTGTTGTATCCGTATTATTTATTGGAATATTAATATTATTATACACGGAAGAAAAATAATGACTAAATAAATCAACAATTTCTTTTCCATTTTCAGCAGTTACGCGATCGAGAGACATAGAGTTTGGTAAGCCGTGTGATGACCTGAGGTTTTTTATGAAAGACCAAAATTTTTTGTATTGGGATTTTAGAGAATTTTGGGTAGTATTTAAATAGTGAGAGTAATCTAGTTTACTTAGAGCTTTACATTGAGATCGAGTTGAAGAAAATTTTAAATAATCGTTATGAGAGTTAGACATTTTGTAAATAAGGTGATAAGTTTTTTTAAGTTTTATTAAATTTATTAAATTTTTAGAAAACCATCTTGGAAATTTAGATTTAAAATTGGTTTTTTTTAGGAATAAAAGTGTTATGGGATTATAATTTCCATTAGACCAGTCATAAGATAATTCAGTAATGATAGAGAAGGAGGGGTATGCAGTTGAGTATAACAGATATTTAAAGGTAGGGTGGTAATTGTCCATTGGGACAATAGAATCACTGTTTTGAGATATAATATGAGAGGGAGATTTAGATAAAATAAGGTCAAGTATAGAACCATAGATATTAGGTATTGTGTTTATTTGAAAAAGATTAAGCAAAGATAAATTATCAAGAAATATAGATTCTGTAGAGGAGAGGTTAATGTTCTCATTGAGTGGCGTTTTATTTAAGTCGGGAAGATTGAAGTCACCAAAAAGTAGTAAATCATCATTAGGGTGGGATATAATTAAATTTTCAATAATATTAAAGAAATTACTGTATGAGATAGAAGGAGTTTTTGGTGGAAAATAAACACAACCTACGATTACTTTTTTTGAGCAATTAAGTTCGACCGAAATGAGGCATAATTCTAAGGATTTATCAACAATGTTAATAACCTTTGGAAACGAGATAATTACTAACTGCTAATAGAACACCTCCACCTCTTTTTGATGTACTGGATAAACACGACCTATCACATCTATATATATCATAATTAACGAGACCTAATTCACTTGAATGAACTTGATCATGTAACCAAGTTTCAGTAAAAGCTAAAATATTGTAATTAAAGAAAGGTATATTAGTTTTTAATAAATTAAGTTTGGTATTTAAACCTCTTACATTTTGGTAGTAGCATTTGAAATGTAGTTGGGGTTTTGCTAGTTTTTTGATGAAATTATTGTTGGAGTGCCTTTGATATATTTGATAGTGAGTTCAGGTTCTCCATTTGATTTTCTGTTTAGTAGTTCTTAACGGAGTTGAGACATATGTTCTTGTTGTTTTTTAGTTTGATCTGAGGAGAAGCGAATATCTTTCCACGAGGAGTTTGATTTCAATTTATTTTGAGTTGAAAATATATCAAACACATTTTTTTGATCGGAGAAGCATATTTTTAACGGTCTTGGTTTGATAGGAGTAGAAGTAGAAGGTGGTTTTCCAAGACGAAAAATTGAAGTGGGTATAGATTCCAAATTTAAATATTTCAGTATGTCTTTTACAGTTATGAGATCCATATTCGTTGAGTTAGAATCGAGATTTGACTCTGGTAAATTAAATAATAATATATTTTTATATCGAGATTGACGATCAATCATCTCTGATATTAGCTCATTGATGTTTGGTATATGTGGATTTGTGCTCAAAGATTTTGTTTTTGTTTCAATGATATCAACTCTTTCTTTTAAAGATGCATTATCGGAAGACAAGCTATTAATTTGGCTTGATAGTTCATTGACTTTTTTATTAAGCGATCCAAACTTTTCCGACAACGAATTAACTGATGAAACAAGTTTAGATTGTGTAGTTTTTATTTCGTTAACAGCTTTAATTAGTATGTCTATTTTTTCTTCCATATTTTTAGATACTAAAACGGCGAAGAATTAATAACACTTGGCACACAGTGTATAGTGACCAAATATTTGCTAGGAGTTTCTGGGTGCTAGGTGTATATATCGTGTGTAGTGAGTTATAATTCACCAATAAAGTAATAAATCGAGTGGTGGAAATAAGATAATATCAATTATAATAATATAATATAAACACTGTTCCGTAGCAACTAGCAGGTACAAAGTCCAGACAACTGATTATTCGTGTGGTCGATAATAATTAATAGTAATATACCTAAGTATTAGGATAATTTAAAAATATTAAAAACTCAAAGTATTACCGTTGCAATGCAAAATCTTCAAAAAACAAAACACGCACTTTGTAGAAGAAAATATAATGTAAATAATGACACTAATTCTTAGAAAAACCGTTAATGTAAACACATCCAAATAAATGAAATAGACGGGAGCAAAATATAACTATCATACTATCATTGTGATATATATTTTTCAGGCAACATTTCCATTACTTTTGTTTTTTCCTCATTTATTTCTAGACCAATCTTTTTTGCTTCCTGTATGAGTGTTTTGGTATTTCGCACAATCATTTCCTTGTTTTCTCCTACTAAATTCAGATCGTCTGCAAAACCTAGTACATCTAGCGTGGTTTTACCAATATTAATTCCGAGTTTATTACTTTGTACACTGCGTATTACTTTTTCTAATGCTATGTTGAAAAGTATTAGCGATAGTGCGTCACCCTGCTTGAGCCCTGTTATCACTTCAAATTCTTCGGACAATGTACAATCCACTCTAACTTGGTATCTTGTTCCGTTCATACACATTTTTGTCAGTGATATGAGTTTCATAGGAAAGCCGAACTCATACATTATATTGTATAAGCTGTCCCGATGTATGCTATCATAAGCTTTTTTGAAATCTACAAATACTTGCTATATTTTGTCTGTACTCATATTTCTTTTCTAGGAGCTGTTCTATAGTTGCGAGCTGATCTATTGTGGATTTGCCTTTCCGAAACCCACATTGATAATTTCCTATACACTCTTCAGCCAGTGGTTCTAGTCTTCCTAATAAAATTTTTGAGAAAACTTTATTTACTGTATTTAGTAGCGATATCCCCCTATAGTTTTTGCTGCTCATCTTGTCTCCTTTCTTGTGTACCGGGATGACTATAGCCTTGTTCCATTCTTCAGGTAGTATTTCCTCATTCCATATGCGATTGCATAATTCATAAATAGTTCTGTGCAGCCACCATACTTTAAAAGTTCAGCTGGTATCCCGTCTGACCCGGGGGCTTTCCAGTTATTCAGTCGGTTTATGGCTCTTAATGTTTCATCTAAAGATGAAACATCTTATGTTGACATGATGCAAGATATATTTGAAGGAATTTGTCATTATAATATGCGTCATATAATCAACTACTATACTGATGTAGTAAAAATTTTCTTACTTGATCTACTAAACTATAGAAAACAGCATTTCAATTATGGTTCAATTGTAATAGAAAATATCTCACCTATTATTAAACCAACTCATTTAAACAAATTTAATTTAAAAATGTCAGCACGAGAAATGATGACTTTTGTTTATTATTTTCCATTAATGGTAGGAAACTTATCTTAGAAACTTAGAAGGTTATTTTTCTTAAATTTTTTAGAAATTATTCAAAATTTGCTATCAAGTCAAATGTCTGATGGCTCTGTTTTCCACCTTCAACAAATGATAGAAAAACATAATTCAGAATATGTCTTATTATTCAATGATAATTTAAAACCAAAATTCCATTTATTGACACATTATCCAACAGTAATAAAGTATTCTGGGCCTCCAAAACATTTTTGGTGTTTCAGTTATGAAGCTAAACATAAAGAAATGAAATTATATGCCCATCATCCCGTAAAAATATAACTTTATCATGGGCAAAATATTTCAATATACATTTTCATACAGCATTCTACAATCCTCATTTAACACTGAAATAGTTACAAATAAAATACATATTAACTCTAGTAGTTATACTCAACTTATTTTAAGAAATTTAAATTGAACTAGTTGACCAGTTTATATGTTATTCACAAATGGAATTTAAGGGTACAACATACTTTTTAACAAATTGTATTGATGAATTGTGTTTACATGACATTTTAGAAATATTAGTTATAAAACAAAACTATAAAGTTAAATTTATTGTTCAACAAATTGAAATAGATTTATATAACTCTCATTTAAAATCATACCAGATAAATAAAACCAAAAATATTATTTTAAAAACAATTTTATGTCCTGGGGAATGTAGTTTACCACCAGTAAATTTACATGAAGTCCCTAATGCCAACATAATGTTAAGATTAAAAGAATATTATTCAGATTAATAATCACTAAAAAAATCCCCATGGTTATTTATTATAGTGGAGAGCGGGGTAATAAGAAAAAAATGGGGCAATAAGAAATTTTAAATTTTAAATTTATTTAACTAACATGATATTTATTATATATATTTTTTTTATAAAATACTTAATTATAATCATTCATACTTATCTGTTATTAATGTTAATAGCAAAAATTTTTATTAAAAAAAAAAAATTCTCTCATTGCCCCAAATAATTTTCTTATTACCCCCAGTGGGGAAATAATAAATAAATAATTATTTCTGCTACATAAAGCCTTATGACATTTTCAAGTTTAATAACAGAAAGCTTATATCAAGTTTAGTATGTATCTATTATTTCATTTTTTTTATAAAAATAATTATCTTGTTATGAAAAACCCTAGATACCAAAGTCAAAAATAGATCGTTATTAATTGTTTCTTGTTTGGTTGTTTTACATTTTAAATTTTAATATTTTTGACTTTTGCTTATCAGTTATCATCATATTAAATATTAATAAATTACTACGACACCCAGTGTATTATTATTTATTAATTCATAATAATTAATATTGTTATGTTATATTAGACATTAGTATATTAGTGATTACTACTGCCATTATTTCCAACGGTTTGTTTTTTTAAATTTGTCTTGTACTTCTGCACCGTCCTTAGTCTGTACCTACCGTTACATACTGACCTTAAAGTTTAAAGTATATATTGTATCATGTAAGTACAATTGTCAATTAAATATTAATTATTGTTAACTATTAACTATTAAGTTAACTATACACCTATACTGTATAAAGATTATACCTACTATGGCTAAGAGGATTAATGCATTTGAGCGGCTAATGAGATCCTCTCGATCTGATGATATTCAAAATAATAATGATGATATTGTTGATATTGATTATCCAGTTCCAGAGACAACTGAATTTATAAATGAACAAGAAAGTTTGATCGTAACAGGAGTAGAAGTAGACCAATCAAAGGTTAATTTACAATTATTTTAGCAAAATAAAAAATGACCAATCTATGTGTAATACTTGTAAAAAAGTATAAAAAAGTCCTTCATCAATAACAACCACTTTAGTAAGGCATTTTAAAATCCACACTCAAAAATATTCTGAATATATGCAAGCATATAGGTAATGAGAACAAAAAAATCAAAAATAACGAGCAAGCGTTGGAGAGAAAACACGAAGACAATATTAAAAACAGTGCAAGAGCTAGATTGATTACCCTAAATATAAGTGAAATGATTGCGTTAGATTACCAACCATACTCAATCGTTGATGACCGTGGATTTAAGAATTTAATAAACACACTAGAGAGCAAGTATAAACTGCCAACCAGACAATATTTATCTTCTACTGAAATTCCTCAGCTGTATTCAAAACGATTATCTGAACTCAAGAAAGAAATAACCACTGAATTGAATAATATGCAATCCATATCCTTTAATTTTGATATCTGGACCAGTGGAGCTCAACAGCCATATATATCACTAACAACACATTATTTAACTAAACAATTTGACCTCCGTAACAAGACAATAGGATGCTCATACTTTCCTGGAGAACATACTGGAAAAATATTTTTCTCAAAATTAAAGCTATGGTTAATGAATGGAACATTGATATTTTGAATTTAAAAATTCCTATTTATATGGTCACAGACAATGCAAGAAATATAAGTTGTTTATTCAATAATTATAATTCCAATGATATCTTACATCACTATTTTTGTGCAGCCCACACATTACAATTGGCCATTGAAGATGCTTTAAAAGAAAACAATATGGGAAGTTTATTAAAAAAGTGTCGGTCAATCGTTACTCATTATAACCACAGCAACAAATCTTGGGGACGTTTACAACAAATCCAAATACGATTAAATCTTCCAAACCATAAGCTCATACAAATGGTTGAAACTCGTTGGAACAGTGTGTATTTAATGTTGGAGCGCATTATAGAGCAAAAAGAAGCAATTGTATTCGATTTGGTAAAGGATATTGATGTTACAGTAGGAGAGTGGGAACTTATTAATGGATATGTTGAAATATTAAAGCCTGTTCTTGAAGCAACAAAAGAATTCAGCCAATAAGATATAAGTACCAACATTTTCAATGGTCAACCCAATAATATATACCATAGAAACAAAATTAGACAATTTTATTGTGAAAAATAGCAATACAGCAGTAGGAATAGGATTTGCTAGAAGTTTAAGAAAATCTATATCCAACATATTTCAAGTATGCAAAAATGATCCAGCATACTTACTAGCAACAGTCATTGATCCAAGATTTAAAACTATACTTATGGAATCGTATGAAGTAGAAACAGTAAAAGATTTGCTTACTAGAGAAGTCGAGAGTCTTAGATTGACAGGTGATATATTAGAAGTAACTGAACAAAATATACTACCCATAACAGTCCCTGTTTCAACAAATTCATTGTGGGATATCCTTCAAGAGCGATCAATCTCTAATACTAGCAATGAAGGAGTGAGCTGTGTTAAAAATGAGGTAAGATGACATATTTCTTGTTTACCTAATTAGTATTAATTATTAATTATTATGTATAAATTAAATACAACTTGACTTGAATTAATTTGATAAATTTATTAAATAAATCGGAAATAGTGGGTTTCTTAGAATTTTGTAATATACATAGTGACATTTCATCGACAGTTAATGAATTAAGAAATCTTGCAAAATCAGCATTAAAAAGTTTTAGGAACGACGAAGACGACACTGAGGATAGCTTAAACGAAACAAAATTAACTTTTACAGAGGACAATTTACAAAATAGTGATCAACATTTATTGAACGTAACTGTTGTTGAAGACGATTCTAATAAAAAAAAAACTGAACCAGAAAATATAGATATTAAAAAAAATATATTAACAGCAGATCCTATACATTTCAAGGTAGAAACCCACAATAATACTTCGGGTGAACAGATCAACACTAAGAATATTATTGAAAAAAATTCAAAAAAATCTTTAAAAAATAAACAAAGTATAAAAATGGCGTTTAACCATAAACCCGATATTTTCTCAGGAAAAAAAAACGAGGATATTGATAAATTCATAAAAAAATTTGAACTTATAGCTATCGTGAACGAATGGAACGACGAACACAAAGTAATTATTCTACAACTATATCTTAAGGACTCAGCAGAAGATTTTTTTGAACAACTAAAATCAAAAAACGGAAATATAACATGGAACGAAGTCAAAAGTGAATTAATAACAGAATTTACAGTAGGAAATAAACACTTACTAAGGGCAAAATTGGAAAATCAGAAACTAGCAAAAGGAGAAACATATAAAGAATTCATAATTAAAATAGTAGGCATATGTTATAAAATAAACAAGAATATGACCGAAGAAGAAATATGTGAACACATTCTAAAAGGAGTACCCAAGGAAACCTTTCAGTTAATAAGGTTAGCAGATAATACATCCTTCGCAAGCATCAAAAAAACTCTAGAGAAACTAGAAGTAACAAATCTTTTGAGAACGGAGGACAAGGTAAATGGAGAAGTAGAGAAATTGACTAGAGAAATGGAGGTTTTAAAAAATCATATAAGTCAAATTAAAGTTGGACAAACCCAAAATAACATTCCCAATAGTATCAACAATTATCAGAACGAAGAGCAAACTAGCTATAACAATGGATTCAGCTTTTATAATAGAATTCAACACTACCAACCACCTATATTTAATAATCAAAATGAATATTATCAAAATAATCCAAGACCAAACTTTTATCCGAATTACAACTATCTCACACATAATAACCAGATGACAAACACCCAGTTTCCTAGACCAAACTTTTATCAAAATTATAATTATAATAATACAAATAATAACCAATTAGCCAACACAATACGCCCTACACAAAGTAATCAGGCAACAATTCCCCATACTAATTATAATTATTTAAATCAACAAGGGCCACCGATATGTTTTCTGTGTGGAATTCCGGGACACATAAAGAGAAACTGTAATACCTTTGTACAAAAAAACTAATAGTTCCGCAGATAACTGGGTCTGCACAGGAACACCAATACATTACCAGTAAGATACCTTTAAATATCGTCAAAAATACAAATACAAATAATACCATTTATACTTATTATGATAATAAAAAAGAAAAAATCAAAATAGAAATACAAGGAAAAATAAATGACCAAACTACTACGTTATTATTAGATACAGGGGCGAGCGTAACTGTTATAAACAAAAATACTATTAAATGTAATAAATTAATTTCCGAAAGCGAACTCTACCTTGAGACGGCGAACAATTCTAAACTAAACATTCTAGAAACACCTGTGGCTCAGATAAAAATAGGAACGATAGTAATAAATCATAAAATAATAATAGTTGACAATCTATGTACACCAGTAATAATAGGATTGGACATAATGAAAAAAAATAACACAATTTTAGATTTAAAAAATAATTTAGTAACGTTTAATTATAAAGGAACTGAAGTAAAATTAAAAATAGAGCAGGAAGACAAACCAAGAAATACCTTACAAGACACAAACAATATTACACAAAATAAGCAAAAAAATAATTTTAAACAATTTCTATTACAAAATTCAGAAACGTATAGAACCAAATGTAGATACCATGACATTATAGGTAATATATTCACTGAACAAATAAATGATGCCATTGCACATTGTGTCAGTAAAGACTTCAAAATGGAGGCAGGGATTGCACAACAATTTAAAGAAAGATTCGAAGATGTAGACGTATTAAAAGCACAGAATAAAAAACTTAAAGAAATAGCATTTTTAAAGAAAAATAAACAATGGATTTTATATTTAATAACAAAAGATGCATATAATGATAAACCCACCTATGAAGACATTTTTAACACACTACAAAATTTAAAACAGTTTTGCATAAATCAGTCAATACATAATTTGGGATTACCCAAGGTTTGTTCGGGGTTAGATAAAAAAGAATGGGACTTAATTTCAAAAATGATTAAATTCACGTTTCAAAATACAGATATTACAATAAGAATTTATGAATTAGAGCCCGAACATAAAATAGAATGCAAGTCAATAGCAACAACTCCGGAAAAAAGTGATTCATCAACAATAAATATAAAATACGACGGAGTGGATATTACACAAAACGGTTTTGATGAGTTAACACATTATGTAGAACAAGAATTTGAAAACATGAATGAACATTTTGCTGACACAATATTACCTCAGACAATATTACAAAACACACTCGTAAAAAATAACGAAAACAATTAAACAATATGTAACATAACAAATTTAATAGATAGTAAAAAAATTGAATTTGATATTAACCCTGAATTGGAAACAAATCAACAAGTAAAACTAAAAAATATATGCAGACAAGGCATACAATAAAATTATTCAACTATATTTTTGGCCCACTATATAGCTATAAAGACGTACGCAAATATGTAACATCATGCATTAGTTGTCAAAAAAGGAAATCGGATAAAAAAGGGACCCATGGTCAAATGCTAACATCACCAAAAATTATTGGTATACCATTTTAACGATTTACAATAGATTATATTGGGCCAATTAATCCACCAAGCAATGGCAACTCATATATTTTGGTAGGAACTTGCGCAACTACAAAATACGCTATAGCAAAATCATACAAAAACGATGACGCAAGGTCTACAGTCGCATATTTAATAGATATAATTTTACAATTCGGAGCAATAGGCGAAATACACTCTGACCGAGGCTTACATTTTGCAAATAAATTGGTGAAAGACTTACTAAAAGCGCTAAATATAAATAACACATATTCAATTGCATACCGTCCACAGAGCCAAGGCCAGACAGAAAAGTTCAACGGTACTTTGATAGATATGATTAGCCACTTTGTACAGGAACAACCAAATAAATGGAGTCTATACTTAAAATATGTACTATTTGCGTATAACACAGCAATTAATGATACAACGAAAAGCACACCGTTTTACCTATTACACGGATATAATCCAAAATCCATATTTGATCACAACTTTATAAGTACAGAAACATCCCCCGAAATTTTACTGGAATTAGAAAAATTAAAAAATATTCGAGACGAACTCCCAAAATTATAAGCGGACAGATATTTAAAAAATAAAAAACATTATGACTCAAATAAGGTACAGGTAAAATTTAAATTAAACGAAAAAGTACTGATTAAAGACGAAAATAGAAAATCTAAATTTGCTTACAGGTACAACGGCCCGTTTAAAAAAAGAAGCAAGTATCGGATGTAACTTATGTAGTAGAAATAATTGAAAATGGACAGTTAGTAAACGAATACAAACATGTTAGTCAGTTAAAAAAATATAAAGAACGTTAAATAATGCATTAGAATAATTGTAATTATAGTATAAAATGTATATTGTATATAATAAATATAACGTATAATAAATGTGGGAAAAGAAATAAAATTATTATCGAATATGCTTGCCTAATGAAAACATACAAAATGTTTTTATTACAACACATAAAAATGTGAATTTGAATTTTACTTGATAAATATATATTAAGAATACCATGTATATACATTTTTTAAATGAGACACGTAAAATTAATAAGGTAAACACAAGCAAATGTTGAATTGCAATAATCGAAATAGTCTACGAAGTACTAATAAAATAGTAGCTCAGTAAATCAAAAATCATCAAAATAAAATAGATACTAAAAGGAAATACAATAAGAATATCATACCTCAATTAAGTTATGTACAGCAAGCACAATTAAAACAGTTTTAATTTTTTCTAGCACATTATCAAATTTTGTTACCCGTATAGCATTCTAACGATTTTCAGTGCGTAAAAAATCTTACGATATCACTTTACCTCCATGTATAGTAATTAATTAATACATTTAAGAATAAGGTGTCGAGATAGAATAGTGCAATAAGAGTAATATTATTAAATAATCATTTATGTACTTTTATTTTTTAGCATAAGGATAAATTAATTTTTTTTATTTGACCATAACAACCACAAAAAAAGTGTAAGCAAAAAAAAGAGTGAGAAAGTTTACAAATTTAGGCGACTATAACCGAACCATAAACCTCGAATCCAAGACATATTATGGTGGTTCAATCAAGACCGTTCACGACGCCGAGGTTATAGCGGTACAGCGTGCACCTATCCAAGGACAGACCACGATAACAGACCTCCCTGTTTCAGTACTGGTTGAGGCCTTGAGGGACCGATGACATCCAAACGACGGAACGGGTGAAGAATAATTTCGGAACACTAATATCGTACATGAGTATGATGTGGATTTATATTGTAAATTTATTATAAGGCATATGTAAACAAAAAAGAGAGCGTGTGAAAACATACGTTAGGCGTATATATACAAATGTAGAAAAAGTGTTCACATAAAAAATATTATTATAAAAAAAAAAAATGGTTGTAAAAACTGGTTGAAATTTTACAATGACACTACCACATCATTGACACTTGCAAAATTTTACGTAGATTTGATTTTCGTTACATACATATACGATGATCGTCAAAAACTGATGAATCAAGAAAAAATTGATATAGTGCTCTCGCCACTCAAAAATACAATTAATATATTATTATCATGAGTGTTATCACATTGATAAGCCCGAGCAAAACAGAACTAAATTTAATAACTAAACATAAAGATATAATATATCATATGCATATTATATGTATAATTAATGCAGACATGCAGTGTATGTATACATATATAATGTAAATATCATTTATCACGTATTCACACCAAAACAGTGGTAAATCTTCAAAATCAAGTACAATTTAAATCAATTTAAATAAAACTAACCTTAATGATATATTTTATTAAATTAAAAAAAAAAAAGGGATGTATTGTTTAAATGAAACATGATTTATATTGTTATTATTTTTTTTTTATATAGTAGGTATATTAAAAATGTTCAAAAAAAAGGGAGGGGGGTAATGTAACGTATGTTACATCATTACGTTTATTTTATAAGCATCATAATATGCATATTAGGCATATTATGCTCTGACTATAATAATATATTAAGCCCCTCCGGTTTAGGTGACACATATATATTTTATGATTGTAAGGCTCCGGCCAATATCCCTATGTAAGAGAATACCAGTTCTCCGCGAGTCCATCACGTGCACCTGAACTCCGTACAATCCTACATTTTTGGTAACTTTGTTCGTAAATTGTAAGTTATAATAAATAATTTGTTTGTATTAATAATAATTTAGATCAATCGTTATTTATTTGTAATATTAAGATCCTAATACCATTCGTGCTCCCGAGCTACGGTAAAAATATATTCAATAGAATTAATTTCTTCCCTGAATATCTTATATTTAACGGGTCATCCCCGACCACGTTACACATAGTTTACCTATAGTCTATACATTATACATTAGTTAACACGAAGACTCCCGGGTTTGATGCCTTTGCAGGCTACAACCGCGGACCTCACACTAGCGCTGTGCGCTAGTCGAGAGCCGCAGAGGTTCACGGTCGACGTACGGTGGAGTTACCCACCGGCCGCCGGCTGCACGTCGTCTATGGACCACGAGCACCGGGCGCACACCCGTTCTCACCGAAGTCGGGAGAGAGTGCGCCCGTACCGTTGACTAAGGCGTGCACGGGCCCTTCGCCACCCTGGTAGGGTCGCAAGCTATCCTCATTGCTTCCCGTTTTTGGTCACGGGCGACCTCCGGTGCATATAGCCCCACCGGTAGGATGGGTGGGCGCTAATTAGTTTCTCACTCGGCAGCCTTCCCCTATACCGTGCTTTGGTCTTTTAACCACAAGGTTAGCTCCCGCTAACAACCACTCCGAAACCAAACCGCTGTCGACCGCCGTGTGAGGGCACGGCGTCAATCAACTCGCCGCCGCCGCCCCCCCCCCCCACATCCCGAAGTACCATTTCACGTTAGGAAGGCCCATCAATGGTGGGATGGTCGGGCCGAGCTTCGTCGACTAAGAGCCTCAGCTGTGGTCCTACCGAGATTAGGATCGTGTATCACGGGCTCACGGTGGGCCCTTACCAGAGGCGGTCACCCTGGCGTGGTGGCCGCGACCCCCGAGTTCAAGGTTCGGTAGCCTGTGCCACGCCTCCCAGAGGTATCACCGAGGTGATCGACTCGCTCTTCAAAGGGGTCAAAACCCCCAACACCCTAGTCCCCAAGGGTTTCGGTGTGTCCGCGTCCCAGACGCCGGCCCCGATAGGCCATTTACCTTTTAGTCGCCTCTTACGACAAGCAGGGAATACTGATGCCGAATTCTGGATGGCCCCGGCAACAGGTCCGTACTCCTCGTCCCAGACGCGTGAGCTCGCCCCGGGTCAGGACGCGCTCGAGCGAGACTCGCCTCTTGTGCCACTTTCACCGTGCTTGCTCACCCGGATCACCCCGAGTCTGTGCAGTACACCGGTTTGGTGCTGCTGCGTCCTGACCCATAATAGGTCCTACCTATCGGTTCTGTTCTGCAGACTGTTTTTACTGAACCTTTTAAGTGCTTCGTATGTTTTCCTTGTACTGAGGAAGGCTCCACTTTCCGGGGGCCAAGCCACCCCTTCTTCCGTCATCGCGGCTATTAGTTTTTCACGGAACCCTCGCGTTCTTGTGCATGTTAGGAGTACATGCCTGACTGTCTCTGCCCCATTACCGCAGACGCAGTTGGGGTTGGGCTGGAGCTTGAAACTGTAGAGCTTGCTTCGGAAGTCTCTATGTCCGGTAAGGAACTGTGTCGTATAGTGGTCTAACTCCAGTGTCAGCCCGCATCGTCTAGCGACGTCTGGGATCATGAACTTGGTCCATTCTCCCTTGTCGACTGCGTCGTATCTGACCAGCCACTCCTCCATGAGTGCACTGAGTCCTAAGTTATACTCTTCGCTAGTTATCCCGCCGGCTCGTATCCTACATTTCTGCTCTACCCTCCTGACCTCAAGGTCGAGTGGGAGTACACCCGCCACGACCGAGAGGCAGTTAGTTGACGCAGTCTTATAGCTGCTAGTGATTGCCCTGAGCGGTTCTCTCTGCATGCTTCCAAGGGCTGCTATGCTTTTCTTTAGGGTACACCCACCTTCAGCCCAGATTTCAGCCGCGTAAGTGATACGTGGGAGGAAAACCACTTCGTAAATTACTTTGGCTGCCGCTCGGCCCATGCCCCAATTTGCCGACGTCATTTGCCTGAGTCTGCGGTACATGCCCTCTGATTTAGTCTTGAGGGACGACACATGGTCCCAGAAGCTCTCTCTGGGGTCTAGAATGACACCCAGGTACTTTGCTGTAACTTCAGCCACGATCCTGGCGTCGTTTTCTCCCGAGCCAAAGCCGACCGAGTAACCGGGCATCAGTCCTCCTTTCAGGCTGAGTAACTGACTCTTAGTCGGCGAGAACTCCAGCTCGTATGCCTTAGCCCACGCTTTAAGACTGTCAAGGTAAATCTCAATTCCGCTATGTGCGGTTCGGGGCCTCGCCGCTGCCACTGTAAGACCAATATCGTCAGCGTACAGCACTATATTGGACGTATTGCCCAGCTGAATGTTGCTTATATCCGTCATAGCGACTTTCCACAGTGTGGGGCCTAGCTGGGATCCTTGTGGGCAGTTACGCTCGATTGTCCTTTGGTACCGTTTTCCTTCGATCACAAGGCTTGCTGACCTGTTGCCAAGGTAGTTCTGGATCATTCGTACCGTCCTGAGCGAGGCGCCGAGTGCGTCGAGTCTGGACAGCAGCGGGTACCAGCCGACGTTGTCGAAGGCCCCGGTGTGTCCAGAAACACCCCGAACACGTGCCTGCTGTTGCTGCCTCTTATCCAGTAGTACGGTGAATTCATGGCAGTGATGGTCGACCTGCCAGGCACAAAGCCATGTTGCTGGTTATAACTATTTAGCTCGGTTTCTACTTCCAAGTCCTGGATGATTAGCGTTTCAAGGGCTTTTGCCATTGTAGGCAGCAGGCTGATTGGTCTATATGACTTAGGGCTCGTAGTATCCTTTTTTCCCTGCTTTAGCAGCACGACTAAGTTGGCGTACTTCCACGACTGCGGGAAGGTGGCTTCAGTGATGCGCGTTCTGAAGAGGTGTACTATCTCTTCACCGAGGATCGGCCATGCTTTCCTTAGTAGACCTGCCGTGATGCCATCGGCTCCGGGTGCTTTTCCTGGGCGCATCCTCCAGATCGCCGCTTTGACTCTTTCGGCGTCGACCGTGCCACCGTAGCTTTCTAAAGGCCCACTCCTTATGAGGTCTCTTTTTCGCCCCTCTCTTGGGAAGAAAGAACTTAAGAGTACCTCTGCCGTCTCGTCTAGCGTTTCGGTCATCACTCCATCTGGGCGAGTCATGGTGGAGGGTACCTTCTTAGACCTAGACCCGCTCTTTGCCCAGCTAAACGCTTTTCCCCACGTGTTGACGTTGATGTCGCCAGCAAAGCAACGCCACGCTGCGAGCTTAGCTGTTCTAATATGAGCTACGTATGAGTTTCGCGCCTGGCTGTAGGCCGGTCTGTCTGTGCTATGGAGGCCCAATCTCCTCATGCGATCCAGATGTCCACTCATGTCCACCAGGGCTGTTTGCCCGCTCTCGGGCCTGCTGTGCCAATTTTAGGCATTGAGTCCGCGGCTGCGCTCTGTATTGAGCGGACTAACGTCCGAGCGTATGTGTCTATGGTTGATCTGTCGATTTCGGCTCTTTGATCGCACAGGCATGAGACGAACTTGGCCTAATCGGCCCGTTTGGTGTTGTAACGGTACGACACCTCCCTCGGCACTCTGTCGGTCCTGAGGTCGACACAAAATGACACCACATTATGATCGCTGTCGGTTACATCCGTAACCGACCAGTCCCGCACCAGGTTCGCGGTTCGCGGTGTCGCGATGGTCACATCAATGTTCGATAAATCCATGCCTTCTCGGTCGTACGTTTTAAGCTCGCTTTCCCGATTGACGACTGTAAGGTCAAAGTCTTCGATCCGGTCAACGGTTTGACTTCCGCGGTCATTGGTGTTGTCACAATGCCAGAGCGGCGAGTGACCATTTACATCGTCTCCGATTATGGTCCTGTTTTCTCGATCGAGTATTGTCCTCAACTTAACCGTGATTCGTGAAGTTGTGGGTCGGCATGTTGTACTTAAAATATGCCGACACCACCGTCACCACCTGCCTCTCGAGATTTTCACCACAGCGACGTGCTGACTAGACAAATCTGCCATCTCGATCACCCGCAGTCTGGGTTCGAGGATCACTATAACCACGCCCGGGTTGTCACTGCTCGCTGCCCGCCTGCAGTTCTCGAAGCCATAAGCTGCACCGTTTACCATGACGGGCTCTTGTATTAATACGATATCAGTTGATGTTCTGTCGCAGTAGTCTCTTAACTGCTGGCTCGCTACTCTTTGTCGGTTGACGTTGTGCTGCGCGAACTTTATGGAATCGGTCATTGCGAGCCGAAGTCCGTTCGCCTTAGAAGGCTACGTGCTGCCTGACTCCTGGCCTTACATACTGCGCTGGACGCTTTATGAGGACCTTTGCAATTTGCGCACTTCACCGCTTCCTCTTTGCACACGCGGGAGTCATGGGCACCTGCACGTTGGAGCCTTTTGTTCGCACCTCAGCGACGTATGGCCATACTGATGACAGTTGTAACACTGTGGAGTGGAGCTGTGCACTTTGCAACGGCAGCTGGTCATACCGATATATACGGACTTATTTTCCAATTTTATTACAACGTTTGGAGGCGCTTCAATGACCCAATGGACAACATGGCCGTCTCGTGGGCCCAGCTTGTGTAAGGGAGTCATACACCCCACATCTTCTGCGGTTAGCCCGAGTTCTGGGTTCTGACCCAGGAGGCACTCGGCTAGCTCTTCCTTTGTTATCCCGCTCTCAACGTCATATATGATGACCCGCGGCTTCCTTGGGCTTATCTCTACTACATTTTCGAGGCCCTTCATCACCTCCAACGTGTTAGCATCGTCCGGGATGATTATAAGTGCCTGGCCGCTTACAATGGTCTTCGCTCTGGGGTTCTTTAGTTTTGACCTAACAGTTTCCCAAACTCCTGCCTTAGCGTTGGCCACTGTCATATCACTTGGTATTTTTACCATAAAGCGCGTCGTAGCTTTAACCTTTCTACTCTTAGAAAGCTGCTCTTTTTCACTGGCTTTTTTTGGACTTAGACGCAGTGGCGACGGCGGCTTTCGGTACGCTTGCAACCTTATCGGCGTATGTTGGCTTAGAGACGGGTGCTTGGCTAGACGCCGGTCCTGACTTCTTGAGCGCTTCCAACTCCGCCTTCAGGTTGTTGGCTTCGGCGTTCTTTGCGTCAAGCTTGTCGGTGAAGCACGTGAGGCTCATTCTCTGGGTATCCTCTTTACCCTTCAGCTCCCCTTGTAGCCTGCTGTTATCATGCGTTAAGCCAGTCGTGACGACTCTGAGCCTAGCAAGTTTGCCCATCATCTTTTCTGAGATGAGGACTCCCAGCTTTTTCCCTTTCTCTTTCATTACTGTCTGCTCAAGCCATCCTAAGAGGTCATTAAGGTCTTTCAGATCAACTGTCTTGTTTGCCGTTTTTGGCTGCTTGGAGCTTTGTGAGACCGGCGAAGGCAGGCCACCGCCTGCCGTGACCATGCCACCACTAGTGCCTTCGGCATCTGTCATTTCGACGTCGTTTTCGTTATCGTCGTCCTCATCACCACCTCCCCTAAATCTGAGAGGGTCAGAGTAGCAGTGTCCGTTAATCAAGTCCGTATCTTTATAATCCATATGTTTCCGTTCCGTTTTCCAGCTTACATTATCCGAGCTATTGATAACGACCTGTGTGGCGAGCTCACCCACACCTGCCGGGTCTAAGGTTTCCAAGGCCTTTGTACCTGTACCATCGTTGTTTTTCTTTTGTGTATTCATAGTGTTATTGAGGGGATCGTCCTCTGGTAGCTCTACACACTCTGGCCGCCGGCGGGCTAGATCGGCGGTTGCATAATCATGCCACGGGTTAGAAGTCCGAAGTCGGCAAGGTGGACATTAGTTAACAGTTATTTGCTTACGATACAAAAAGTACGCTAATGCAAAATTTACAGTGTCGTAATTTTATACAGTTAATTTTTTTACGTAGTGACTATGCCACCTAAAAGACTGTCATTTTAACGAAAATTTGCAAAAATGATTTCCCATTTATTAAAAAACTTAAATCTACTGACGATTTCAATGTACAGTGTACAACTTGCCATGGAACTTTTTCAGTAAGTCATGGTGGACGATCGGACATAAACGATCACCTCAAAACGCAAAAACATCAGTTAGCTACAAGATCATCGGTTCAATCTTGTAAAGTTTCCAACTATTTTTTGCTTTGGTTCTTACTGAAAATTATTTTTTGTTAGCCGCCCGTGAAGCTACTTTTGTGTATCATACAGTAATTCACAATCACATTTTTCGTTCTATGTCTTGTACATCAGATTTGATTCGTCAGTGTTTAAACGACAAAAAATTCACGTGTGCAAACCAGGGAAATAGCTGTCAATGTTATTTGCCCGTACATAGTTTATAATACTTTAAAAGAACGATCTTCTGCGAATTATGTATCTGTTTTAGTTGACGGTTCCAACCACAAAACAATAAACTGGTACCTGTTGTTGTTCGTTATTTTTTGCCTCATGTTGGTGTAAAAAACAAAATACTAGAATTCTCAAATTTACCCGATGAATCGTTTGATTTAATTACTTCTAAAATTATTGACGTTCTTACTAAATTCGGATTAAAGCAAAAAATTGTTGCACTATCGGCTGATAATACAAACACTAATTTTGGTGGATTAAATAGAAAAGGAAAAAATAACGTGCACACAAAACTTCAGACAGAATTAAAAAAAGATATACTTGGATTAGGTTGCAACGCTCATATCTTACATAACGCTGTACCTACAAATCGCGTCAGATAATTTACCTATTGACGCAGAAGCTATTACAGTTAAACTTTTTGGATATTTCCACATTTATACGGTGCGGGTAGAAAAATTAAAAGAATTTTGCGATTTTGCTAATGTCCAATACCGTGATATTTTATCACATGCCAAAACTAGATGGCTATCGCTGTCTCCTGCAATTGACAGAATTATTTTAATGTTTGATGGCTTAAAGTCGTATTTTCTTTCACATGATTCGAGTCCTAAGATATTGGTTGACTTTTTTCAAAACGTCACTGCTCTATTATATATGAAATTTATGCAAAGTATGCTTAAACTGTTCAATAACTATATTCAAAAAATTGAAGGGGAAAAAATGTTGGGATTTGAATTAATTGATATATTAAACAGTTTATTAAATAACTTAAAAAAACAGAAAGAATGAACATTTTATTAATACTGAAATGGAGATAATAATTGATTCTATTGAAGAAGAGGGTTATTTAGTTAAAAAATAATTTGATATAAATTGTCAAAAGTTTTACGATTTATGTATATCATTTATTCAAAAGTGTACATTACCTAACAAAAAACTGATGGTTGAATTAAATTGGTTGCACTTAACAAACAAAAATACAGTAACATGGAATAATGCTAAAAATACAATAAAGATGATATCAAAATATGTTAAAGTCAATGAAGATGAATACTTTGATGAGCTTATGGCTTTTATAAACATTTTTCAAGACAAATTTGATGACTGGACCAAAAATGTTATTTCAGTAGAACAAAAATCGGTACACATATTTAATATATTTAAAGAAAAATATGTAAATGTATCAAATCTTGCAATGGTTGTAGAGTTTGCATTTTGTTTCCCTGGGTCAAACGCGTCAATAGAGCGAGTATTTTCTTTAATGACAACTACTTGGACTGACGTTCGAAATCAAATGGATACTAAGACAATAGAATTTTGTCTGGTAACAAAAACATATGGCTTGAGTTTCATTGAATTTTACAATGAAATAATAAAATATCCTACATTTCTGAAGAAAATACACAGCACTGAAAAATATAAGGTCTCCTTGGACGACAAATATAAAGAAAAATAATAAATCAGTAAATTCTACCTAGATTAGTATATTTATCTCAACGACTGGAAATTGTATTATTATTTTTATTTGAATTTTGAGTGTTAATTAAATAAAGATGGCCTATCTAATTGATTAATTTGAATATTATTTATACCTAAAAGTTATATTCAAATACCTATGTAATTATATTATACTTACTAGATAATTACCTATTTTTTATGAATTTTGGTGTCCCAGATTTCCAAAAATTAAATCTGGCCACCCTATTGTAGGTATGTTCTTATTTATTTTATAGCTACTGAAGCTAATTCAGAACAAGAGTCTACTTATTTAATGAATGCAGATTTAACTTGGCCTGAGGTGGAAGAAATTTAGAAAAGAACTGTAAATTACTGTCAAAATTTTATTAAAGAAAACAATACTAGAGCTATATTTGATAAATGGCACCATTATACAAAACCATTGGGTTATAAACATGTAAGTTCAAAAATATTCTTTAATACATTAATACCTAACTAATTAAAAGGGTAATTTATAAATATTATATATATACAGGGTGTAACAGAAAGGTATGACATATACATAATATACTGGAAATGTTCCTAAACAGTTCAAAACAAATCAAAATGTTTTGAAAATTTTATCGTGTATAGAAAATGCAAATATAAACTACCAGTGAAAATGTCATGTATACATTTGTTTTAGAGTTTAACCAAAAACCAAAATCGATTTTGTCATATCTTTCTGTTACACTCTGTATTTATACCGGGTGATTCACCTAGCATGCTCACCCTTTTTTTCTTCAACAATGCAGTTATTCAAAATCTGATTTTGGAATATTTGAATATATAGTTTAAGATTATATTTTCAAATTCTTGAGATTTTTTGTACTACTTAAGGAGTGTCCTGTGAGGATACATACTTTTGTTTTTTTTTTTTAATGAGAACACCCCTTTTCAACTGTATATTTGTATAAAACCAATTTTAAGGACTATTAATTATTCTTAATACAAACATTTTTATAACTAAGAACTTACCCATTCAAATTTTGAATTAATTTCAGCAAAATTTTCAAAAAACATATCAAATAAATAATTTACAGTGAAGGGGGGTTCTCATTTGAAGAACAGAAGTTTATATATCACCACAGGACATTCCTTTACAAAAAAAAATCAAGAATTTGGAAATATGGTCAGAGTATATTTAAAAATTCCAAATATCAGAATTTGAATAAATGTATTATTAAAGGAAATAATAGGTGTGAGCATGCTTGGTGAATCACCCTGTATATATTTATATATGTATGTTGTATCCTAATATTATCATGTGCCATTCATTTTTGATAATTTAGAACATTAGATAATCATGTAAATTATTAATTTTCTATAATAATATGTGTATTATTATAGTTTTTATTTAATTTGTAAAACTTATATGAGTGGTAAAAAAAATAGTAATGAATACTTATATAATTTTGATAATAACTATGTAAAAAATTCAACAGTCATGTTTACAGATATGCAAAGCCTAAAATACTGTGTCCCCTGACACACATTGTATCCCCTGAAAATCAAAGTGTGTCCCCTGAATGACAAATGTGTGTCCCAAGTTTTATAACACGTTTTTAGTTTTAATTGCGGAAATAAGTATATAAAACAATTTAGGAATTTCAACACAATTTTATTATAACTTCATTTCAAATAAATTGAGTATCATTATCAATTTTATACAAATATCGAGTGATAAGCATTTATATCTGATATCATACACTTTGGCTGGTCATTACACATTGTTCCACAAAACATTGTTCCTAGTTCTAATGGACTTTTGTTCCACAAAATTCTTGTTTCAAATGTGGAGTTTTTACTATAAATATACTATGTGGGTATTTTTGAATTTTTGAACAACATAATATTATGATCTTGTGATTACTGATTCTGATAGTAATAATATTAATCATTATTCATTATTATAATGTACGATAGTTATAGTCGGTTTCACAACACTAGACACAATAATTTTATTTAATACTAGCCTATTTAGTATTTTGAACTTAACTATACCTATTTTATTTCTATACTATATTACTATGGACAAGTATGTTATAAAAAAAAGAAAAACTCAAACTGATAACGATTCAATACAAAGTAAGTTCATATTAATTAAATATTGTGTAGGTACTAGGTAGTGTGTACTACAACCTACTAAAAAATAACTAGTAAGAGCATTGTAATTTCTATTTTGTAGCATATTATTAAGTTATATTGTTATAATATTCTATTATGCCCATAGTGATATATAATTTATAGGCCTAAAATATGTTGAAATATTTAAAAAAAATAAAGTTAGGTATTATAATTTATTATTTATTATAAATTGGATTTTAATTGTCTCTTGTTTAATAAAATATATAACTGGCCAAAGGATCTACATACATAATAATATATATATATATATATATATATAATATGATCTTACACCAGTTTATTAAGTTTATTTAACTAACAAGTTAATAACCAATTTTTATAATTACTAATTTATTTAAGTCCTAATTTGAGTTTTCATTGTATTTTGTAAATGGATTGTGTGCTAATGAACCTACTGTTTCCCACCAAAGTTTACCAAATAGAGTTGTTAGTGAAATATCAAGTTCATCAAAAATTTGTGAATCTAGGCCATTAGATGAAGGAATTGATGACGAGGCTGGGGATAATATCACTCAATTAGTAGAAAAACAACAATTTATATTAGATCCATGTTTTGAAAAGTTACAAGTTACAAATATGGTGTTCCACAGGGCAGTGTATTAGACCCTATTCTGTTTATACTCTATATAAATGAGGTATGTGATTTGAAGATATATGGAACCATTGTGACCTATGCTGATGACACTTGTCTGTTATTCGCAGACTCATCTTAGAATGGAGTACATAATAAGCCACGAAAGGACTAAACTCAACTTATTTATGTATAAAAAAATAGAGGTTTATCTATAAATTTTGAGAAATCAATGTTTATAAATTTTTCGATAAATAAATGTAGTAATACGGTTCCTCCTTTGGTTATTCACAACTGTAACAATCTTTTAATGTGTAATAATATTAACTGTAAACAAATACAGCAAATAACGAAGATCCGTTATCTAGGTATCATATTTGATAAAAATTTGAGATGGAATTTGCATATTTGCAATCTAGTTGGTAAGCTCCGTGCCACAATCCATCAATTTATAAAACTAAGAGATCTGTTACCGGTGAAAACGATGCATATAATTTATTTCGCCTTCTATCAATCCATTTTTCAGTATGGGGAGGTATAAAGGATAATTATTTAAATCCACTACAAGTAAATCAAAATAGTGTAGTAAGAATAATTTTTGGTAAAAAATCTTTAGAAGGTTCAACGAAACTAAATTATAAAATTTTAGGTATCCTTCCGGCCAAACTATTGTACAAATCAATTGCATTACTTTTCACGGTTAAAAAATGTATAAGGAACAATACCAATACATTTGATTTTTCTAAGTCCAGAGAACAAAGAGTATATAACCTACCTGTAGAATACACAAAAAAATCCTTTGGGCAATCGTTTGTAAATTATTTAGGTCCAACTTATTTTAACCAGTTGCCAACTTTATCAAAAAAGAACTTTCTTTATGGCTTATTAAATGACAAAAAAATCATAACTGATATGCTTTTTTTCAGAATTAAATATTTCTTAGTGAAATCCGCATATAACGATGTTTGTTAGTCTATATTTAAATATTTAAAACATTTTTTAATTTTTTAAGTACTAAATCATGTTTCTTTAGATTTTTATTTTATTTTATAATTGTGTATAATATTATTTTAATTTTATATTTCTTATAATTTATGTACGATTATTCTCTAACGCTCTACTCCACCACAAGCCTAGGCTTGCAGGAGTAGATATATTCTGTATCAATGTATATATTTACATCATGTATTTGTATCTTATAAAGAAATTTATTTAATAGAAAAAAAAAAAAAAAAAAAAAAAGGTAGAAAGATGGTTAGGTGTATTATTTGTTACAGACAGTCAAATACTGCTTTATTGTTATGTAAGAAAAAAAATCATTTGCCTCCTGTCTGTTCGAAAAGTGGTTGTGCGCCTCGAGCGCCTCCAGACTAAAAAAACATGTTGAATCACATATGCATAAAGAATGTGTAAAAGTTAACCAATTGTCAGAATTATCTGTTTCTGAGGTACACAATACTGCTCCACTCAATAAATTAATTTTAAAACAAAACAAAGTTCTTGCGTTAAAAATTAGTAAACTATTAGTAACAGTTTTTAATGATTCTAAACGTGGAACTTTAAGCGCATGGTAATTTCCTTCCAGGGAAGTGGTGAGTCTTATTTGCGACCAGTTGGACCCAGAAACCATTCAACCATACAATCCAAAAGAAGATGACCTACAATATATAAATCCTGGAACGCATTCAGTCCTTTTAAGACATATTGTACAAACGAATATTTCAAATCTCAAGTCCAAACTTAAATTGTGTATTGCAATTTCTCTTCGAGTGGATGGTTCTGTAGACAGAAACCAAATAGACAATATTCATGTTTTGTTCAAAATTGTGCTGGAGAATGGTGATTCTGAAACAATGTTTATGGGCTTTGAAGAACCTACTCAGAAAGGTGCTATTGGGTATTATGAAGCCATAAAAAATTCTGTTGAATGATTTGTCGATTGGAATGAAGTTTTACCATTAGTTTCATCTATTGTAACTGATAGAGCTAGCGTTAATATAGGTAAGAAAAATGGCTTATGGTCTATTTTTGAACAAGAAAGAAATAAAATGTTTAATAATACTGGCCCATTTATCAAAATTTGGTGCAGTTCACAGGAGTGCATTAGCTTGGGAAAAACTAACTTCTGAAGTGGGTGAATTAAATAAACTTATTCAAATATGCTCTTCAATTCCATCCTACTTTCGCAAATCGGGACTAAGAACTAATGAATTGAAACAAGTTGCTCTAGATGAACAAAA